CCCTGGCATCTCAACATACCTGTTCTTACTTTTGTTTTACTTTGTTTTGCTGTGTGTTCTTTTTTGTTTTGCTATGGTTCTGTCGGTTCTTTTATTGGGACTTTTTTTCGGCACATTGCGGAATTTAAGGCCAGCACAATTTGCTAACGAGTTAACGAGTTGAGGTATAGAGAAATTTTTCTGCGTTTACATCTGAACATGGGTATTGGAAGAATTCGAGTCAGAGGGAAAGAAACATCCGATTCGAACTAAGTCATTTTATATTTTAAAACCGTCAGTGCAAATGACTTCTATAACAGAATTATGGAGAGAAAACTTAAATTTAATGTTTAAAACTATGAATGATCAGACTCCGGAGTACTTGAAACGCCTTATAAAACCCTTCAGCACGGACTTTGGACTGAAAACATAGAAAACAAATTAGCTCTGCCCGAGCCTTGTACCAATTTTTTAAAACTTAGTTTCTGCTACAGTGGGGCAAACTTGTGGAATAGCCATCTAACTTTAGAGCTGCAAATCAGGTATTTTTATTTTTTTAATGTTAATCTTGTAACTGATGTTTTCGGCCGTGTTTAAATAAATCGTACGTTTGTATGTAAAGCGTGACACAGTCGAGGGTTTCCGCAGCTTTCGACAGTTCCCCCGACCTCTTTCCCCCTTTTCCTTCCCTAGTCTTTACAAGAGGCTATGCAAACATGGAAAAAACTCCTCCATTGTTTTTATAAAATATTTTTTGTCACCACCCGTTTACACGCTTTTATCTAAACACATCAGTCGACCGATGAGAGCGTGCGTACTATCTGAAACATTATAGACTATAAAAGGTATTGCGGGTGAGAAAAAAACAATAATTATCATTATCATCATCATCGTTATCATTTATCACTATTGTTTCAGCTTTTGTCGGCTCAATTGGTCTGGGCATGATATGGTTCGCAAGTCCGCTGGCAGGCTATCTGTGTGATCGCTTTGGTTGCCGCATCACATGTTTCTTGGGAGGCACGCTATACATTGCGGGTCTGGTGTCGACTTCACTCGTCCACAGCTTCACAGTGATGTACTTCACGTACAGCGCCTTGTACGGTTTAGGAGCGTGCCTAATATTCAATCCCTGTATTCGTGTACTTGCTAAATACTTTAAAGACTAGCTGACCGTAGCTACTGGCGTTGTTTCGTTGGGCGGAAGTGTAGGACTCCTCTACAGCGGACCTTTGCTTCAAGTCCTCTTAGACTCGTTTGAATGAAAAAGCACTTTCAGAATAATGGCGGCAACGTACGCCCTTGTCTGCATTTTGAGTCTAGGTTTCAATTAATCCGCACGTAGAAGAAGCAATAAACAACAACGCAGAAGTTTAACACTGGAAAGAACAACAATGAGGAAGTAAGAGACGAAAAGACAGGCATCTCTCTTTACTGCAGTGTGTGGAGCTTTCCTGCTTACACTGTTATTGTGGCGTCGCTCACGTTTGCCAGTTTTGGGATGTAAATGCCTTACATCATTCTGGTTAGTTTAAATTCAAATGCTTGTTTTAAGTCGCATTACATTTCAGAGCAATATACTTTTTAACTTATTATGGGGTGGAAACAGCTGAGAATAACGTTTTAAAATGCATGGGCTCTGGAAACTAGACTGCTCTACATTGCTGCCACTCATTCATTTTTTTATGCACATATTGTAAAAGAATCGTAAGGTAAAGTAGGTAAAGTCTTCATACGAGCCAACTGGCCCATCAGGTCGGAGCTTACCCCGGTTTCTGTAGCATGATACACTAGGAGTATTTCTACTCCCCCCTGGATGAGACGCTAGTCCACCGCGGTGTTACCCCCACCAGTAAGTTCGCCGTTACCCATTTATACACCTACATGGGTGGAGAAAGGCACTGTGGGAGTAAAGCGTCTTGCCCGAGAACACAACGCGATGTCCCCGGTCAGGACTCGAACCCGGACCACTCGATCCGGTGACGAGCGCACTAACCATGAGGCTACCGCGCGTCACAAGAGAACCAGAAAAAAACTTACCAGAATTGGGACTCATTCTCGGGCCTAGAGCTCATATATCTGACAAATGACAGGGAAAGTTGAAATCTCTGGTACCGAGAAAAGAACAGCAGTCAGATTCTTGTATACCTAAATTAATTTAAAGGTCTTTTTTGGGTCATGTTACGGACGTTTTGACTGAGTGCACAAAACATAGAGACGTCCCTGTTTACCTAAGGCTAGTATCTACTTTCTTTGATTGGAACGTTTCCTAAGAGGGTATTGTTACTTTATAGGTCAAGTACTGTGAAGATAGTCGAATCGATTTCTGCGCAGAAAGCTTCTCAGCTGTTCATTGTTATCGGTCTTCTTTCAAGTTTCTCACGCCTGTTGACAGGGAGACTATACAACTACAAGAGAGTTAATCCAGTGTATATCTTTCAGTTATGTATGGTAATTGTTGGGCTGGCCACCTTTATGCTGTCGCTTACCACAGAATACGGGAACGTAATCGCCTTCAGTGTTATTTATGGATTGAGCGATCGATGGTGTTAATTTTCGTAACATCACAGAATTTTATTTTACTGACGTGTGTGGACAGCAAGAGAACAACGGCCGCCTACTGTATCCGCAATGTGGTGTATTCGTTTTCTGTAGTCGCCGGTGGACCAGTTGCTGGTGAGTAAATATATTTTTTTTATATTTTGAACCGAGCGCTAGCGCTGTACTGAGGGAGGACAGGGCTGAGGTCTTGACAACGAAAACAACCTGAGGCTAATATCCTTCCAATATGGCCCCGAGCTACTTGTAGCTTGGTTAATAGTGAACCGAAATACTTGGGGAAAGTAATATACAATATAGAAAATAATAATGATAAAATATAGATTACTACAGGAAGTGAAATAAGCCTGTGAGGAAACTAAGAAACTTCTCAAGTTAAAGCCCCGATTCCTCGACTGAATATACAGGGTGCACGAAAGTTGGTCAATTAAAGAAGCTATTACGTTAAGGTTTGCGCATCTTGAAAAGTTTGGCCTAAATTTTTCAATCTGTAATCTGTGTCAGTCTTCTCCATCCTTGTTCCTTTATGGTTTATCATTATTATCCCTACAGTGTTTTTCTATCTTAGTAAACCGCTATTTTCAGGTTTCCTTCAATTTAAAGATGATTTTGTATGTGGCCAAAGTAACTCAAAATACCGTGCACTGAGTTCTTAATGAATTAACCAATTCGAACTGAGGAATAATTTTTTAGGTCGTTTGAGAAATCCAGCGCGCGTCCGATAAAACTGGAGGGACTTCACAGAAAGAATTTAAACTTCGAGTTAAGTTGCCTGAATGAAAAGATCTTTCGAGGTCGTTTCTTGAGACTTTCTTTCTTAACTTCTTCAGCTTTGATAGCGGACCAGACAGGAAGCTAGATCTACTCATTCTTCACGACCGGCGGAGTACCGTTGACAGCATCCCTGATACCAATAATATTGATCTTCATCAACCGAGGAAAGTTCAAAGTTCATCCACGGAGCATGGGAGTAGAAGAGGCAAAAGAAGAGAAGGTTGACACAGTATCAAAGGAGGTTCAAACTGAGCAGTGCACGAATTTGGAATGAAGCTCCGCTCTGGGATTTTCACGAGAATGCGCAGTTCCAGCGCAATCCTATAATAGTTATTAACTTTTCAGCTATCCTAGTATGGCGTTTTTAAAGACTTATCTCCCTCCTGAAAAACTCAAACCCATTCCGCCGCGGTGTTTGAGCAGCGTTTGAAATTTTACTATGCGCGTGAAGTTAGGACTAAAACTCGTTCCCAATTTCCAACGTAAAAACCCCGAGAATGAGGTTCACTTGGACCCTAAATTCAGTGCAATTAATTATAATGACTGGGCACGTCCACCGCAAGTAGTTCTTGTCAGTTTCTAATTTCTTAGACGTGTTCTTTTAGCTTCAGTTCTGCAAGGCAGAAATGTAAAAGAAATGGTGAATAAAACTCATGAGCTGTGAACGTTATCCTCTAGTATCATTTGGTTCCGGGGGTTGGGGGGGCTGTCATATATGTGAAAAGGCCGGGGATGCTCGTCGGAAAATCTGAATCAAACCCCTAAAGGAAACCAATCTGGGCATGGCCTTAGCTTTATTTGCCTCATAAAAAATATCACTTAAAACCGAATTGGCTCGATTACCGGCCGCTGTTCGGGAAAGGAGTTCGCGAGAGTAGTAAGATCGGACTTGAGAGAGCGGTGGAAATAAAACCTGTAAAGTGAAACGAGCGCGTTTTCTTATTCTTATTTATTCGAGCGCACCCGGCCTTACCAGACTTTTTCATACAGGAGTCCCCCCCGGGATGCTCGGTCGCTCGTGGATTAGCACAACCTGGCGGCCGCATGCTGACTACAGCGGACTGCAGCAATTTTCTCAAAGCAATTTTTGCTTTAGTACCTTGATTACGAAAATTAAAGCGGTACAAAGCTTAGCTGGGACAGA